GTAGTAGTAGTAGTAGTAGTAGTAGTAGTAGTATATATATATATATATATATATATATATATATATATATATATATATATATATATATATATATATATATATATATATATATATACATGTGTATAGATCTATTTGTGTCGATAATTTCTGAATTGTAATTGCTGAATAGGTACATTACACTATCTATCAGCACTTTAAATTGCTACCAACAGACTGAAAGCATTCCTCTTATCTCGTTTTCATCGCAAATTTTGGTGATCAGGTATAATTGTGATAAAACAAATATCAGGGATGGTTCAGGTATTGGCTACCGTGGTCGGAAGACACAGCTCAACTAGTGATACGGCAGATTTTATGCCCCTGACGGTTGATTTTCAACAGAGCGCATCGGCAGTTGGTCGTATTCCTACGAATTATTTGCGAAGAGAGTTGCAACGAAATGATGCTGACATTCTGGCATCCAGAATGATTGATCGTTCAATCAGGCCGTTGTTTCCGAAAGATTACTCTGGTGAAACTCAGGTTAGAAAATTTTTTTTCCAAGCTTTAACCTATTTGAGCCTCAATTTGTTTTTCGTTTTTTTTTATGATGATTCGACGTTGTTTTCTCTACACTAATGGAATTAAAAAATTGATCATAATATTTCAGAAAATTAGATTTTATCTTCTAGTGGGTATTGTTGTCTTTTTTAGAATTACATGTTTGAAGGACATATGATTAGTCGTTCATGAAACAATAAATTATTAAGTATTTCAGATAATATGTAAACCTCTTGCGGTAGACGATGATGGGGATCCGGTAATGCTAGGGCTGAATGCAGCCTCGGCAGCGCTGACTCTATCGGATATACCATGGGAAGGGCCACTTGGAGCTGTCAGAATAGCTCTTATTAATAATGAGGTAGCTAACAGTTCTTCCTGTTCATAGTGGTTACGTTTCTGGTACCAACTTTTATTATATTATATAGTAATAATTCTAAAAGACTTCAATTATTTCAGAACTTTAATAATTTTGATTGGATGGAAATTATTCAAATAACTTCAGATTGTTGTCAACCCAAGTCGGAAAAACATGAAAATTTCTTCACTGGATTTGGTTATTGCTGCTTGCGACGATGGAAACCGAATACTGATGATCGATATGGATGGTTGTGAAACTGGAATAGAAAAATTTGCCGCGTGTATCGAAACTGGTCTCCAAGCTATTTCTTACTTAATTCAAGCCATTAATAAAGTGAGGGATTCGTGTGGTCGTCAAAAACGACAGGTGACTCATTTTGTTAAAGATGCTTTTGCCTAATAATTGATCTATATGCTTTATCTTTAGTCACGTCACCCTCCTAATTTGATGATATAAATTCATTAACTTTTATCTTGCTATCAGTCATTGCTGTAATAATGATCCTGCCCCTAGATATTACAGTCAATAAACTTCGTCTCACCACTCAATTTGTCATCTGTTATTCTATATTCTTTTTTGGTTTTGGCAAAAGGTTCACATCGCTTCTAATATCTATATAGGCTCACAATCGTTCTTGTATTTCCCGGCATATTAAATATTTGCCTAGTAAATACTTGGGATTATTCGTAGTCTCCGTTAATACGCATACTGACATATTTCTGTAATTTTCTTTCATCTTTTCAACATATTTGTAAAAATTATGTTGTAATCTTTGGAGCTAAGTGCTACTATAGAGATGAACGTTAGCTAATAATAGCGCTAGAATTTATAAGGCGACTCTACATACTGAATAACGATGACAACTACAGGCTTACCAAATAAGTTAATGCTCTTCATCAAATATTCAAGGTTATAAAATGGCTTGACGTAAGGCAAGTATAAACAGGTAGTCTTGTACCTGTTTTCTTTTTTTTGTTTGATAGCGCTTTTTGTTAGCATGGAGACTTTTGCTTTAGAATATTTGTGGAGAAATTGATATTGATATGATAGCGTTAATGGAAGAAATGCAAATATTGTATGGTGATCAATTATATCATATTTTAACGGATATCGAGCATGACAAGCTTTCACGAGATCGGGCTGTTTCTGCACTTGGTAATCATATGCTTGAAAGTCTTAAAGAAAGGAGTACTCCGCATAAACTTCGTCATACTTTTACGAATCTCCTTAAAAAATCACTGAGGTATCTATTTCAGCTTTCCACCGAAAATAACCTTGTGTTTTATTTATTTACATTTTGAACTGGTTAATAATTACAAGAATGCAGCGTAGAGACTGGAAAACATGAACAGCATCAGTTCATTTCATTCACAAAACTGTAGCTGAGGAAATGTGCTTTTGCTTTGAAAAGTTATGATTTACGATGGTAAGCGGAAATTGGACAGAAAAAACTGCAGTTCATTATCAAACATCACTAATAAGGATTTTTATTTAAAACAAGAAAAATTGTTTTCACTCTGTGTTGAAACTTCTTGAGAGGATTTTCATTACGAAATGTAGGATTCTGACGTAAAAGAGTTCTCAGAAAGCTTATTATGCTTGAGAGTTCAGTCTCATGTTTAAAAAATTTTTTGCTTTTAACTATTCCAAAATAGTACTGTAGAGAGGCATTGTTCAAAAGTGAAAGGCGATGTGATGGACGAAAATTTGATGAACTTCGTCCAGTGGATATTAAAATGGATGTTCATAAAAAGCTGCACGGATCGGCACTTTTCCAGCGCGGTCAGACCCAGGTTTGTTTTCTGTTTGTAAATGATAATTTGAATTCAAATGCAAAAAAAAGCTAAGACAAAAAATAAATGAAAAGCTTGCTGTATTTCGATCAAGAATATCTAGAATCTGTCAACATGCTTCTAATATTGTAGAAATTTTATTCTTATCTTACTAATGTGCTTAGTATGTCTATAAATTTCAGGTGTTTAGTACAGTGACGTTTGATGCTCCATCGGCTGCGTTTCAGCCAGATGCGCTGTCGCAACTACTTGGTGCGCAGCAAAAAAAATGTTTATGTTGCATTATCAGTTTCCCTCGTTCGCTGCTACTGCTATTTCTTCCTCTGTACGAACTTCGCGCAGAGAACTGGGACATGGCGCTCTCGCTGAGAAGGCTCTGAAGAGGCTTATTCCAGAAGACTTCCCCTACTGCTTGAGACTTGCCTGTGATGTTCGTGCAGGTTTTTCCTCTTCTTGAAATTTGTTAAATGCGATTTGAGCTTTCATTTATATCCAGAAAATTAATTGTAATTTTATTTTTAGATAAATTCATAAGTCCTTAGTTATATGTTAGTTATATGTTAATGAATGATCTTAAGTGACAGAAATGCCATGACGAAAGTAGTGATAATTTTAAGTGACTCCCATACAAAATTGATAATTCTCAATTATTTTTATTTGTGTTGCATATATGTTACCAATGGTTTATATAATAGTCATTCAAACTTCAGGTCCTAGAATCAAATGGTTCATCTTCAATGGCATCGGTTTGTGCCGGTTGTTTGGCGCTTCTTGATGCAGGAGTACAAATGAAGACACCTGCTGCTGGTGTAGCTATGGGTTTGATTATTGATAAAGAACGAAATGATTATCGTATCCTGACAGATATTAATGGTTTGGAAGATTTTGCTGGAGATATGGACTTTAAGATAGCAGGTAAGTTCTCATTGAAAGAGATCATGGCATAGTTAGTGATGCCTAAATCCCGAAAAGTATCATCCGTTGACATTATTTATTTTATTCTGTATTACTTTTACGTAAACCTCGTAATTTGTTGATTTACTGATTTAATGAATTGAAAAGATGTCTTTGGAAATTTACTTACTGCTAAACTGTTTTACATCCTTGCCTGTTAAACTGGAATTTACACAAATTTGCGACCACAGTTTTCTTACTTTAAGGAACAGTACGAGGTTATACAGCGATGCAGCTGGATTTGAAAGTGCCAGGCATAAAGCCAGAAGTGATGATGGAATCTCTGGAACAAGCAAGGAATGGACTGGAACATCTTTTGCAACTAATGAGGAAGGCGCAACCTTTCTGTCGGAATCATTTTAAAAGTACGGTCCCGGTACATGAAACGATACCTGTTGAAATCTACAAACGCCACATCATATTTCGTAGTGGAGGCTATAATGCTAAATTGATCGAGTCAGAAACCGGTGCTAAGGTCACTTTGTTTTACGATAGCAAGGGATACTTTCTCACTGTATTTATATTGTAATATAAACAGAAGAAATACCGTCCAACTTCGAGCAAAATCGATGCCACGGTTCTCCAGGAGTGCTTCACGTGAAATAACCGCAAGAACATCGTTAAATTAAAAATTTTTGTAGATAAGCGTAGAGGATGATGCAAACATATCTATCTTCGCACCTAACAAAGTCAAGCTAGAAGAAGCGAAAATGATGTTGACCAAGTAAGTTCGAACTAGGACTAAATTATGTGTATACAACGTTTTCGATATAGACTAAAGCTTAGAATACGTCACTTCATTCTTTCCGCTTGTTTAAGCAAGATTTAATCAGTCGAGTCGTCTAGTCATGCTCGATTTATAGAGAGTTGTGCTTTTCAGAATGTTCGAGAGTGAAAGCGAAATAGAACTAGTATTCGGTGCAATGTACAAGGGAGAAATCACAGATGTATTGGAGCATGGCGTGCTGGTAACGCTTCACAAGAGCATGAAACCTATTTTACTGAAAAACAGGTTTGTTAATGAACGAAGTTATTCTGGAATTATCTTAATCCTTACAAAAGATATATATTAGCTCGCTGCTGTCTCATTTTTCACTCCATCTTGTGATTTCTTGTAATCTAGAAATATGATTTTCCTCTGAAGGCAGATCAAAATTTGTGCCGATACCTAATTTGATTAAAATCTTACTTCCTTACAGCAATTTGGATGTGAGGAACGTAGCTCATCCCAAGGTGCTTGGTTTCAAGGTCGGTCAAAAAATAATTATTCAATATCTAGGACGAGATCCAAATACTGGGTACCATAGGATATCAAGGAAAACGTTACAGTCTGCTTCCTTGCCTATTCAAAATGTGTACCACGACATTTAGCTGTCTATTCATTGAAAGCTTTTGGGCTTCGAAGTTGCTTAAAGATGTGATATAAAATGATGTTCTATAAAGGATACAAAAGAGGATCAATTTCGACCTTTTTCATTTTTCAACTTTTTTTATAATCATTAATTTTATCGAAGTCTTTTGATGTTAAGATCATTATTTTCCACAAAATTCATTGTTTTAACAGTGTAATAATATGCCGTTTAAGCGGTCGTGTAAATCGAGTCAACTAATGGGATAAATCGTGCAAAACGTTTGGATCAAATTTTTCAGGACTATTGACTAAAGTCATTTCAGTATGTTACAAAATACGAAAGTGAGGGTCCGTGAACAGTCCTCTCAAAATAACTTCCTCAAAATCATTTTCTTTATTACAAATTTAATAAGCGGAATATTTATTGTCCACTATCGATCGAATGCGCATCGTTAACTTTATACAAATTAAATATTACTAAGATCTGGCGATTAGCATTCAGGTATGGAGGAAGATTTCTCTTTATTTCTTTCCAGTGCTACTGTTTACCATACTAAAAGCCATTTAACAAAGTTTAACCAGTTTTGCCGTTTTGGATGTCCTCATTTTTATATTTACAAGAATGCGTGTATTGTATTGGCAGGCTTACTCACATCCTTCCTACACTATGTTTAACTGATCATGGATGAAAAGTAGATAACGATTGTGACAGTATTTTCAATCAAACAACTACCGTGAACTCTCACCTATTCACCCAGAAATCACGTTGCAATTCGTTCATTCTATCTTTATCACTCATCAACAATTTCTTTTGCTTCTTTCTCGCTGCTACTTCATTTATTCTTCAAAACAAAACGATGGATAAAACAGATCTGAATTATAATTGCGGTCATTTCAAAAAAATCTAAAGATTTTGGAAGAGTTGGGTTCCACACACCTCTATCATAACTTCAGTGCAGAGTGAACAAAAAAGAAAAAAAAGAAGTAATAGAGATAATAAACAGATATCTGAATATTAAGCAGCGAAGAAAGGCATGGTATTTATGTTGGGCTTCTTCCCATCCCATAGAAATATTATTACCTGATTCATTAAAGGCGAAGAAAGCAAGTCTGGTAAATATCGAAGTTTGATATTGCGATGTTTAGGAATAACAAGAACTCTCATTTCTACATCAATTATTACATCGTTATTGGTACTTAGGCCTTATCAACAAGTGGAACAAGCGCTGTTTCAATCAGCACTGCTACAGGACCCCACAGTCACTAATCCTTATTGGCGTGCTCACACCGTCCTCCGTTCGCACGATCATTTCTGGAATATCACTCTCCGAGAAGAGAGAATCTGCGGACCCGTTTGAACTTCGAGTCCTCGTAATACTTCCTCCTGTACTATATCTTTAAGAGGGTTATTTGATGAAACTTTAGCTAATCAAGACAAAACCATGAACCACTTCAGAGTAGTAGTAGTAGTATTAGTAGCAAGACGGTGTCCAGTGAACGGCAGCATCCCATGCGAGCACTGTGTAAGCTTTGTGTGAGCTTAATTTCGAACTCATGGCTGCAACTTGAAATTTCATGACGACAGCCTCAAAGTGTCGTAGGTTAAGTGGCTCAGCGCTTGTCTGGTTTTAATAGTACTACATGGTTACTTCGAGTATGTTGTCGTTCTTGGTGACAGTTTCCATTTCAGATGGTACAGGAGGAGGAAACAACGAAGGAATCGTACCCAACAGGTGTTCCAACTGTGCATATCCTACAAAGACTTTCTGTTGCCCTTTCTTCCTTCACTCCGCCTCACGAGGTTTGTTTATACTGTGCTGTTGTCTCACCAACTGTTCTTTTTGGAAGCGCTCTCTGAATCTCTCAATGTTATTTAATTGTATTACAGATGGTTTTGGAAAGGACTTCAAAAGGATTTTCGAAGTCACCGGTGCAAGAAATTGATGAGTATTTCGAGCTTGTTGCTAAACTTGGTCGACCACTTTTTAAATGGGAAATAATACGATGTGCATTCCTTTGGAAACTCGAGGTACTTCCTTGGATGCATGCAATCCATTTCCAGTCTTTTTCTTTATGGCAATTCAGTGATAGATTATATATGTAAGATGCCAGTCAGTGAACAAAAATATTCGATTACTTAGCATATTAATTTCCATTTATTCTTTATATTAATATTAATTCACGGAATAAGTAGTATGTCATGCAACTTGTTTATGCATTCAGATTTCCTAATATTCGTTTTGCTGCTCAGAAAGTGCTAGCACATTATTCTATCTTATATATATATATATATATATATATATATATATATATATATATATATATATATATATATATATATATATATATATATATATATATATATATATATATATATATATATATATATATATATATATATATATATAT